TGAAGGGATTCTTCACCTGCAATGGTCATCAGTGATTCTTTGAATTTCAAAGCATCATCATTTTCTGACTTCTGCAAAATCTACAGTTCACCTTGTTGATCCAATGGCTGGTGCACTTCAGATCATCAATAATCAGAAGGGTGGTCAAATTGCATACTACTGTACAATGGCTATTTAGAAGAAAATGACATAATAAGGTTTAATGAAGAACTCCTCCTTTTCACAAACACGACATCTTTTTATTAACTAGTCACACGTAACACACAATAGTAAAGTCAGGAGCAGTTGCTGAGTCAAGAGCTAAGATCGAAGTGCCAAGTCAGGGCTCCTCTTGTTGCCGCCTCCACAAGTTGTTCCAGTCGTGGTGCAATGACCTGATCAGGTGATGTTGCAAGAGGTGGTTCCAATGATGACGCAAGGATAACAGGTGGTTGGGGGTAAACACATGGGGAGACACGTGGCCGTTTGCCCTTACGCCAATACTGACGTCTAGATGGCGCGGTCGTCTCTGTTTCACGGCTCAAACAAAATTTTGGGTGTGGGTGATTGGTCATTACCAATCAAACTGAAGGTTTTTGACCCGCGGGTCGTCCATACAAGTGATCAAATTGTGACGAAAGTGTATTGTCCGCCAGTTGTTCACTGTGGGGACGCGCGTAAACATGATTGATGGTAGGAGGAACAATAGTTGATTGTCCTGTTTCCAGGTTAATGACTCCCAGTTGTTTTTCAAAACCAGGTATGGGCGCTTGCAGTAATCCACAGAATGGGACCATTTCCCAGGCGTTGACCCGTCGGACGTGGGGTCCTGCTCCAACCCAATATTTGCCTTGTCCTTTGTCCGCGATGACCATAAAAGGCCCCAGCTTCTGTTTGCGGAATCAACAATTGGCTGCGTGCTGTTCAACTGTGGGTAAGTGAGGAAATATTGCAATTAATTTGCCAGGCTGAAAGGTTCTGAGTTTTGTTTTGTTGGCTTGTGCAATAAACTTTTTGCGCTGTTGAATGTTGTGTTGAGGCATCTCCTTGAGACGTTGCGCTAAATGTAGTTGTTGCACATTGAAGGTGTTGTTGGGGGCAAGTACAGTAGGGACGTTGAACATTGCCTCAGTTGGCGTAACCCCTGTTGTTGAGTGCGGCGTTGCATTGTACGCTTTGACGGATGCGTGAAGATGCTCGGCCCATTCAGAGTCCTTCCCTTGTACTGCTTTTGCTTGTATTTGAGTTAGAGATTTGATAGCCCTTTCACAACATCCATTACCTTCGGGATGCGTGGCTTGCGCAATGTGTTGTTTTATGTGAGCACCGCGAAGGAAGTGTTTAAAGGCCTTTCCTCTGAAAACAGAATCTGCATTGGTGTGAATATACTCAAACTCACCCAATTGTTGACATAACTCGGCTAAATAAGGCACAACAGTTTCTGTAGTGGCAGAGGTGATTGGTTTGGCACACATAAACTTATTAAAATGATCAATGGCCACAATGGCATACTTGAATCCTTCAGGTGTCGTCGGCAAGGGGTCGTAAAAGTCAACTACTAACTGTTCAAGAGGTTGAGTGGATTCAATTGGTGTCAGGACTGTGCCCACCATTTGCGTCAGGCAGTTGTAGCGGAAACAAGTTGTGCAGCTGATGACTCTCTGCCAAATTTGCTGTCTCATACTGGGCCATTGGAATTGGTCCTGTAAGGTTAGGTACACTTTCTTCCATCCGGTGTGCGCTAATTTGAAATGATACGTGTAGATGATGTGTTCCCATTCCTCCTCCGTTGGGGTAGGTCACACAGTCGCCACGTTCAAGGAGATTCAACTTAGAGCATCAGGGCCTTGGAGGAATTTCCCTGGGCGGTAGACCAATTCAAAGTTGAAGGCAGCAAGTTTGGTATAGAGGCTGACAGCGCGTTTGGTTTGAAGATCACCTAAAAGAGCTTTGTGATCTGTATTAATGATGAAACGCCTGTGGAGGAGGTGATGTTTAAATTTTTTCGTCACACTCCAGACTATTGCTAAAAGTTCTCGTTCAGTGTTAGTATAGCGCGTTTCAGTGTCAGTTAATACTTGACTAGCATACTCAATGATGCGATCTTGTCTGGTGTTGTCGGTTTGGACTAGAATAGCCCCCAAGCTGATGGCTGAGGCGTCACAGTGTACCAAAATGGGTAAATTTGTGTTGATGCGCTCCAACTTTGACGTTTAAGCTAGGCATGATTTCAAGTGTTTGAAAGTGGTTTGTGCTTTGTCTGTCCAATGTAGACGGGTCTCGGGCTTCTTTGGAATGATCCGTCAAAGAGCCTTTTCCGAATCCTCAAAATTTGTGGGGAGATGGGCCCTGAGATAGGTTGCCATCCCCAAGAATCTTTGCATTTGACGGGTTGTGGCAGGTTGAGGATAATTTTGTACTGCTTCTACATTGCGTTCCGCAGGTCTACTACCGGTTTGATCAATGATATGGCCCAAGAAGATTGTCTGTCTTGCTAAAAAGCTAGATTTCTCAATGTCTATTACTGCCCCTGCATCCTGTAAAGCAGTTAGTACGTCGGACAAGTTATTACACAAAATTTCGAAGGTTTTGCCAAATACTAAAACATCATCAACATATGCTAGGCATTTCTTGAAAAGGTGAGGATGTAAAATTGTATTAATTGCTTGTTGAAACATAGCAGGTCCATTTTTGAGACCAAATGGCATTACCTTATACTGTACTTGGCCGCGGGGCAACATGAACGCCATTTTCGGGCAATCTTCTTGCGAGTGATGATATGCAGAATGTAGATTGAGGCCGAAGAAATATTGATAGTTCCTACCAAGGGCGTCAATGAGCTCTTGGGACAATCGGCATGGGGTAATGATCATCGAGAATGAGTTTGTTCAACTCTTTGTAATTCTCGACGAGATGGAAGCATTTTTTGATGGGCGCGTCAGGTGGTCCTTTCTTATTGACAAGAAAGGCGGGCGCGTTGTAAGGGGAAGCTGCATGTTCCAAGATGCCGTCTTCCAGGTACACATCAATGATCTTGGCAAACGGAGCATTGCGCTCAACAGAGTGCCTATATTGGCAAGTGGCAGGTGGTGGCGCATCTATAGTGGGTATGCGGACAACATGATCAATAAATAGACCGCGTTTTCCAGACCACTGTTGAATGGCTGGCGCGTGCGCTTTCAAAATCTCGGTAACTTGCTGGCATTTGTCAGGTGAGCCGTCAACAAAAAGAATGCCCTCCCCGCAGGGCAAGGAGGGTTTGGCTGGCGCGCGCGTAATCTTGCAAAATCCGGTGAACAGTCTTTGACCGTCGACTGTGATTGTGACTGGTAATTGGAGCAAGATATTGCGGCCAAAAATAAAATCAAATTTGCATAACTTTGGTAAAACAAAAAAAATCCCGGAGTACTCAATGCCGTGAAACAGAAACGCGATCTGCGCTTTGTGTGTAATGGTCACTGGTTCTGGGCCCAAAGCAGTGCTGACAGAAGTGGACACTGGAGTACAGGGAATGGTCAGGGACGTGATCAGGGAATTGGACACGAAAGAGTGGGAAGCCCCCATATCAAGTAGTCCCAAAAATACCTGGTTATGCAGAGATACCTGAAGAACCACTGGTCGAGGTGCGGTGGAGAGGGTAGACAAAGCACAGTGAGCCGCTGTCCCATTTCCCTTTATCTGCGGGCATTTGCGCATCATATGGCCCGCTTTCTTACAATGGAAACATGAAAAACTTGCGGAGTCATTGGGACAATCTGATGAAGACGTGGTCAAAGTGGACTTAGCTGCACCATTCTCAGCGGCTGAAGTGGATGTTGACGATGAATTGGGACGTAGGCGACAATCGTTGGAGCTGTGGCGCATGTGACGTTCATGATAGTCACACCACTGGCAAGGTGGCAGGTCCGGCCGTGATTGGTATCCCGTTTTGCCGGAGGACGATTTCTCGTTACCGGACGTGGACTTCTCCCGGTGATTCAGGCAATAGGATTCTGCAATGTTGACGAAGTCCTTCCATTTCATGTGACGGTTTTTGAGCCATTTCTTTTGTAGTTCTTCCCGCAGGCCGCCGTCGGAGATGCAAAGAAGCTGTTCCATGAGCGTCTGCTGGATCAAAGGTTATCAGGCTTCCAAAAGGTCGGCGGGAACGTGCAAGAAGGATTCATATTGGTCGCGGAGGCATTCCGCAAAACTCAGGTAGCTCTCCCTGCTGTCAGGTTTCATCTGTCTGAAGGTATCCAACCAATCCAGATGAGGCGTCGGATGTTTGCTCGCGATGGCAGCAACAAGCGGTTCAAACTCCCGAATACCGCGCTTGTAAAGGCGGTGGGCTGTCCCCTGAATTTTAGGTAATGTGTTGTCCATGAGGCATCTTACGCGGTGTCCATCATTGATGTTATCTATGTCCAGGCAGTTTCAAAGACGCATGGCGTAGTCTTCAAATTCCTCATCTGCGTGTTGTTTAGGCAGTTCCAGAATTTGGGGTTCAGCGAACCAATGTGGAGGCAGGGCTGGTAGTTGCACTGTCCAATCTTCTTCCCAAAGTGGAACAAGTTGCGTGGATGACCCCAATGGAGGCTGTCGAGGAAACGCCAGGAGGGCTGAGAGTGGAACTTTGAACTTGTCAAGGTGGGCTGCATATCCTGCTTTTGTCGCAATCAGCGGGCATCCAAGGCAATACATGTTGGTCAGGAACTGCAGAGTATCCAATGGCAGTGATTCCCAAATGCTAGTGGTGAACAACGCACTAGACAACGATGAGGCAGTGATCATGGTTCCAGATGCACCGGTTGGTGTGGCAGCTGGTGGTTCCCCAATCGGAGTCGTGGACTGTTGGGCTTGTTCCGTGTTCATCTCAAGCGCAGATGCTGCAGCGGCTCATGAATTTTCAGTGTTGCGCACCATAAAGAAAATGTCGGTTTCCGTGAAAAGATGACTATTGCAGGCTCAAGCCCCCAATAAGGTTTAATGAAGAACTCCTCCTTTTCACAAACACGACATCTTTTTATTAACTAGTCACACGTAACACACAATAGTAAAGTCAGGAGCAGTTGCTGAGTCAAGAGCTAAGATCAAAGTGCCGAGTCGGGGCTCCTCTTGTCGCCGCCTCCACAAGTGGTTCCGGTCGTGGTGCAATGACCTGATCAGGTGATCTCGCAAGAGGTGGTTCCGATTATGACGCAAGGATAATAGGTGGTTGGGGGTAAACATGTGGGGAGACACGTGGCCGTTTGCCCTTACGCCAATACTCATGTCTAGCTGGCGCTGTGTCAAGTAAAGGGGGACCCTTACTACATGGAGAGCATCAGTGACAGTGAGGAAGAGGCCGCAGAAGGCAATTTTGAAGATGATTATTAAACAGTCCTTTTGAGGACTAATGAAACCAAATAGCCCTTCTCAGGGCCACCAAGCACTATTATGAAACTTGCATCCAATTATAAAAAAGTGGTGGGGGGGGGCTTTTGACCTAGGGGGGCTTTTGGTTGGGTACCGGACACACCATTGGCAATTAGGACAGATCCAAGAGGTGTTTCAAGCATTGCAGCAGAAGGCCTTCCACTGACTTCTTGTGAATAAACGTTTCTTCAAAAACAAAAATACTCACTTGTCGCGTTTCTTGTCGGGCTTTTTGAAGAGGATTTCGCAGTATCCCGGTCCGAGTAAAGTCTCCAAATCCTTCAGGGAAACTTCGAGGTCATCCCCAGAAAGGTTCTTCATCATCTTGGTCACCTCAGCCTTCATCTCGTTCGGCAAGGACTGCATCAACCTTGCCTTCACCTAGAAATACAGAAATACTCATATCATACATTTTACATTTAAAATCTTAATTTGTATCTTTTTTTAATTTGAAGCATTTTGTAAATGCGTGGCAAAAGGATAATTTCGAAATTCAAGAAGGGATCAAAAATTGATGCGGGTGGCCAAAAGTCGGCAAAACCTTCAGACAAGATTACCCAAAAACTCGAACATCAACAAATCACCAAATCGAATATCTGAACATACAAGTGGACACTCCACAAAAAAAAAAATTTTGAAAAAAAAAAACCAGACAAAAAGTTGTACAGAATTCTTTTGTAGAGAACCCCGATCACATGTTGAAAGAACTCGGGGATTTTGAGCGACTACAGTATTGAGGGATTTTCATTTTCTAAGGAATTATTTTCAAGGGATTAAAAAAAATCGTTTCAAAGTATTGCTGCAGACAAGATAATTGCAGAGAGAGTCCATCTGTATCTTCGAGGTTTTTTTTTAATAAAGCGTATGGCTCTTTGCCAAGATCTGTTCTCGAAACTGCAGATCTTGACTTCTTGCTCAAGAACTAAAATTTAAGAAAGAACTTAACATTTTGCAACACCAGCCAAACATCATTACGAAATTTGCAGCATAATATTGATTGGAAAAACAGGTGAACTCTCCTTAAAAAAATGTCCACAATGATATTCTCTGTACAACAACTTTTCTGGTCCTATCGGCTTCTCTGGCCATCACACAGGGTTCTCTGCAACAAATTTCAGGGGACCAGAAAAATTTCGTCGTAAACAGAATTTTTCTGTAGAGAATCCAAATTGCGAGGACCAGAAAAAATCGTTGTAGTAAGAATTTTCTCGTAGAGAACCCCTATACCATGGGTAGAGAAATTCTATGGGACCAAAATCATCGTTAGACAGAGAAAATTGTTGCAGAAAAAATGCAGGGGACTATGATCAAATCCGTTGTAGAGAGAATTTCGTTGCAGAGCGAGTCTAAATTTTAAAAACTTTTTTTTTCCAATCTTCGTTTAGCACCATAATACAGAACAGTAGTTTACTTGCTTAAGTAAGCCATTTTTCCCGCAAACCCTCCGAGCAAGTCAACCTACTTCAGTTGGAAAATTTTCCCAGAACTCCGTCTTGTCAATGTCCTGGGCATCAACTTCCAAATTCTCTCCATCCTCCGAAGTCCAGGCCAAGTAAAGCACTGACTTGTGCGCCAATTGCGACACCAAAGTACGACACAAATGCTTCTTCAACTGAGCTCCCAGCTCTGAATCTGTTTCCGTCACAAAATCGGAACCTTTCGCGTATAAACGAATATTGGCCAACGCGTCACCAGCACTCGTTCTAAGAGCAGCAAGGAACTTGGTCTTGATGTCGGATGCGGAATCGGGAGTGGAAGCAAGTGCATACGTTTTCGCCAGTTCATTGTACTTGGTATTCAGTATCCTGAAGAATGTGGCACAGAAATAAATCCAAGGCACAAAATCCAATCGGCAATGCATCAACATGTTAGACGTTGAAGTTAAAAACAGGGAGAGGTTTCTTCAAACCCCACCCACGCTTCAGTAGCGACACCTAGAATTGTTTGCAACCAACAGTGTTCTTCAAAGAGGTCGCGACAAAAGCGGACTTGTTACAGGTACAATAGTTAATTTTCTGAAATTAACACAGAAAAAAAATCAAAGCCATAGAACCAAATTGGCAATACAACAAAATATGCAATGTTGAAGTTGAAAAAGAAAGAGGCTTCTTAAAAAAACCCCACCAACACCTCAGTGGCGACACCTAGAATTGTTTGCAACAAACATAGTGTTCTTCAAAGAAGTCGCGACAAAAGCGATCTTATTATACGTAGTTAATTTTCTGAAATTAACACAGAAATGGATCAAAGCCATAAAACCAAATTGACAATGCAACAAAATATGCAATGTTGAAATTGAAAAAGAGAGAAGCTTCTTAGTTATAACCCCAACAACACTTCAGCAACGACACCTAGAATTGTTCGCAATAAATACAGTATAGTCTTTTCAAAGAGGTCGCGACAAAAGCAAATTTAGTACAATACTCAATGCCCTTAAATTATACGGAAATAAATCAAAATCATACAATCCAATTGGTATTTCGTCAAAATGTTAGACGTAGAAGTAAAACAGAGTGAGGTTTTTTTAAACTCAACTCCCACATTAGCAGCGACACCTAGCATTACTTGCAACAAGTAACTTTAGAAGAGGTTGCGACGAAAGCATACAATATTTGGCATTCAATGTCCAGAAATTCTACAGAACTAAATCAACGTCACAAAATCAAATGGGAAGTACGTCGATGATTCAGAAAAGAGAAAGGTTTCTTCAAACACCACCCACTCATCAGCAGCGACACCTAGCATTGTACCCAAAAAACATGGCTTTCAATGAGGTCGCGGCAAAAGCGAACATTATTTCTATTTCAGGGTACTGTAATAGTCCAAATAATGAGCGTTTAATTTGACAGTCTGTTTTTTCATCGGAACAACAATATTCGTTTTTTTTCTTCGGTATTGAGCTTCCAACCAAAAAAAAAACGCTACACTGAAGGAACAAATTGATAAAGACGACTAACTTTCTCAATTCAGCGGCCAACTTGTCTCCCAGGGACGGAGGAGCATCCCTCAACACGTCCAAATTTTTCACAACATCCGACAAGTCCTTCAAGGGCATAAACTCGGCTCCAGTGTCGACCATTGCTCGGGGATCCAAAGATTCTTCCTCCGACGAATGCTCGTCAAAATCTTGCGCGTCTTTCCCAGCCATGTATTTTTTCTTGGTCGACTTGGTTTTGGTCTCCCTGCCTTGAGCGCCGCCACCAGCTTTCCCACCGGCGGCCTTCTTCCGCCGTTCTTCTTTCTTCTTGGAACCACGGCCACCTCCGTCGTCTTCGTCGTCGCTGTCCCGTTTCGAAGGCTTTTTCGTCACAGGCTTCGCCTTCGGTGCCTTCAGGTTAATTTTGAATGTTCCTTTCGCAACGTCCTGGGAAAAAAATGACTGTGTATGAAATTTAAAGTTTCACACAAGAACAAACCCGCCGAAAAATTTTGTCAAGAGCCATGCAATATTTAAAACATAACAAATTTTTGAATTTTATTTTTGGGCACAATACACACACGGCTTAATTTCATTCAAATCAGTATACTTTCTATATGATCTAAATTTTTAAACAAAAGAAATCCATCAAGAAAACGTCCAATCATAGAGGCACTGAAGTTTCTGCGCTCTAACGTCGCCTTTTACATAAAATGTTGGAAAAACAAATCCTAAAAACGCATGAAAAAATAAATTTGCAGAACACCTTCTCATATTAAAAGGTATTTTAGTCACAATACAACCAACTTGGTTCAGTGTCAACATACTTTTTTGTGCAGCAAACAAAGAAAAGGAGAATTAGTTAGGCATTCAAAAAAATCTTATTCAGAGAATTCAGTCGCCTGATCAGCAATTTTGAGATACAATTTAAACTTGTTCCCACCAGTTGAAACAACCGTATTCACTTCAATCAATAGCATACTGTACTCAAATATTCCGAATATCCATCAATGGTTTCAGAGAGAATACTTTTATGTGATCTATCTCCAAACGGCGAAAACTAAACTCTGGGGATGACCTTTCTTGGGACAGATCTGCCCTTTGAAAACTTTCACCAATTGATAACACTGAAATATCAAAAAATGAGTCTACTCTTTTCCAGAAAGAGCATTTTCAATCTATCCCCTGTCCAAAAATGGGAGCCCAAAAGCAGATACCTGTACTTCATTACACATTTTCTGTTCAATTTCAAGTTGATCAACAACTGGATCAGTTCATTCAAATTTTAGAAATGCGCAAAATCCCCATTTCTTCATATACTTCATAAATAGCCATCAAATAATTGAAAAAGGGCAGAATAAAACTGGAATCCCAGATTCAAAAAAATATAAGCTTGATACTGCAAGTTTTTTGATGCACTTCAGTACTAATTTCATGTTCTGCCTTTTTCGTCAGAGGGATAAAATAATTTTCATTTTCAAAACCCCAAGAGCCAAAAACACGTCCAATTTCATCTCGACCATAGAAACAGCCGTTTTGTTTTTCGAATGGCCTTCTCATTGAATTAAACTAAGTTTCAATACACCTCGCAAATGCTCAATATGCGAAACGTTTTCCTCACTTCTTTTGCTTTGTTGTCGACGATAGGATCGAGAAGCTGTAGCACTTTCGTTGACAACGTTTCCGAAACCAGAAGCGACTTTCCAATGACTTTCGGCAACTTCACTCCGCGTGTTTCCCAGCGTTTCAGCACAAGCTCAATCAGCTCTCCAATTTCTTCTTGAGCAAGGTTGGATGGTAAAAACGGCTAAAATCGATAATTGAAAAAAATTGTATGATTTACTCAACTGAAAAGTGGGTCCTCGCATAACCAAACTAATCCACTCCCGGGTGTATGCGGAATTTTTGTAGTACGAAACGCGATTTCCCTCAAGGTTGCATAGTACATTATTTACTCTTTCCTGACACTCGCAAACAACATAATAAATCATTAGAACTGTTCATTTATCCTTTTTTTTGCGTAGAATTGTGAAATTAAAATTCATAAACAAAAAATGTATCTGCTCTGCTCTTACTCAATTTCAAAAAAATTTTTAGAGGCAAAAAGAGGTCAAATAAACACCCTTTTTTAATTTTCCACAATTTATGAAGGAATTCCGAAGTCCCAGTGAAATTTGAGCATTTTTGTATCGGTATATGAAATAATTGTTTTATGAGTCACTTTTCCCCATAAAAATCTCGTTATTCGAAATTTTTGTTGCGCAGGTCTTTCTTTATACAGGGACTCGCTTTATGAAATGCAGTACATGAAGAAGCACATGATTGTCTACGAGGGTAGAAAATGATTCACATGAATAAATCGACCAAGACAACAAAATTTGCGATACTGAATTTAGATAAATTAAATTCTTACCTCAGCATCGACCCAGTCACAGGTACTGAGTTCATCCTGCAAACTGGCTTGAACTTGGCTCGTCATTGTTTTCCCGACACACGCCTTGCTCAAGAATTCCAATCCTTCTTCGTCCGGGAGGATTCGACGAATAAACGCTTTCGGATCCGTGATACCCAGGCGTGAAACAGCTTCGTAATCTGACGTAAAATTTACACATTTTATTTCATTTTTGTTCTATTGTGGGGCGTTTATGAAAAAAAAAAGGAAAGAAACTGACCAACGAATCCATTCTGCCGGAAGTACTGCGAAACCCATTGGCTTTGCGCGTGGGAATGAATTTCCGGGATGAAAACGGAAGACGAAATATTTTTCCCTCCCGAAATCACGCCAGCGATTCGACCTGTCCTCAAGAGCTCTTCCGAAAATGCTGCAAGAAAAATCAATCGCGAATTCGTCAATAAATTTTATGTAATAATTTCAAAGATTCTCATGCCACCTCGTCTGATTTAGCTTTCTACAGATTTCGCCCAAGTCCTTGAACTAATAAGCCGCTCGAAAATACCCTGCATGAATTCGAATACTGCACTGTACCGTGTACACGAGGGGTCTCTCAACAAAATTAAGGGGACCAGAAGAAACATCGTTGTAGAGGGAATTTCGTCATAGAGAATCCATCGAGGCAGAATAACTGACAAATACAAGATTATTTTTAAAACCGACACGCTGAGTTAATTAAAATGGAGATCGAAATACCGTACAATTTTCTGTATTCATCATCTCTTCGGAATTCCTTGAAGAAAATCCCCAGCTGAACCCCACAGGTGAATTCATGGTTTATTTTTGAATCAATTTAATCTACAGTATCTCTTTTTATTGAGAATCAAATTCAAAACCCTATAAGATAGGTAGAGAGAGAAACCTGCGCCCACGTAACCAAAAAAATCGTTACACAGAAAAATCATTGTGGACAAAATTGTTGTAGAGAGAGTCTACCAGTACTTGAAACAAGGAACCTGAAGAAAGTTCCACCGAGATCTTTGTAAAAGAGAGGAAAGTTATGGGGTCACGGACATCTGAAATGTACACAAAAATCAATGTGGTTTTAAATTTTAGTCGTTTGATGCGCTAGTTTTTCATGAAGCACCGGCTTTTCAGGGTTATGTCCCCTTTTCAGTACAGGCATCAAGACACAAGTTCTAGAAACATAAAAGAGGCAATACAAAAGGGAATAGGTTGGAAAATGTAAGATTTGTTATTCAAATACTTGTACCGTACAGAACAGTACAATGAGACCCCAAGATGCGGACATAATTTGTGCATCAAGATGACCCTAAGTCAAAATGTCCCAAAGCTGAGTCTGGTTTTCCCATAGAATTACATTTTATAATTTTTAATTGGTGTTTTATAGACAAAATATTCCTCAGAATTCCATGAAAAAAACATTTGTCTGCCAATTGAAATTGATTCAGTGAATATCTTTCAACTCAATAAGAGCATTATACTTCAACTGTGTACAGTAAATTGAAATGTTAGCATCTGTAAAAATAACGTTCAAGCCAAAAAGAGAGATGGGAGTCCCTCTATGCTGAAGGTATTTTTTTCAATTAGCTGAATGGATGGGAAATTGTTTGGAAACCGAAGAATTATTCTTGCATAGATCTTATTGCAAGAAATATCTATTTCTTTCAATTCAGCCTGATACAAGTCAATTTTCCTGAAACTTATTGGGAATTTTATCATAAAATGTCTGCATGTCAAGCCAATATCCGCATGTAAGGCCTTTTTGATGTTCTTTTTATTGGAAAATAAATACCCCCACGTCGAATTGTCTGCATGTCGATGTGTTCGCATGTGGGGGTCTCACTTCAGTTTCATAGAAGATGAACTCACTGTACTTAACACACTCTACCTTGAAACATGTGTTCGGAAAGCTCGTGATGAGAGATAATTTGCGCGCATCGCGTCGGTTTGGTGACTCCAGAAAGTGCTCCACGAATTTTAGCACGATTTCGTGATAAGTACGCATCCGTCACAAACAGATTGGAGTCAGTTTCGTCTTGACGCCCGATCAATACGTTCTTCGCTCGCTTTTCCATTTCCTAGAAGAAGAAAAAACCAATAATTTCACCAGAAGATCCACCTTTGTCTAGATTTTTTAAAATCTAGTTTTTTTAAAAAAGAGCTGGCGAGGGGCACAAACGAACAAAAATTTTTCCACTTCTTTGGTTAAAAACGAGATTCCACGGTGTTAGACGAAAGCGTAATTCATTTCCATGGATTTTTTTCGTCAAAAACGAGGTTCATAACAATTCATTAATTTTTAGCTTTCAGAAAATCGGCTTTAACGCAAGACTTATTGCAGAGTACTGTACTAATTTAAGAGGGCGCCTGAATATCAGATAATGAAAAAATCTCTAACAAATCGAAGTCTTTAAGCTTGTCTTTCGCCTAGAAATAACATCATGCCATATAATTATCACCAAAACATAGACGGCACGCAATGATTCGACTATTTATGAAAACGTAGTTGAAACGAAATTGACGATATTATTGGCTAACATTAAAAAAAATTTTCATGTTATACAATTGTACAAGACCTGACACACACAAAAAATATAAGAGAATGCTCAAGAAAATACTTAACGTTCAAAATCCATAGACATGGTAAATTATGCTTTTCTGTACATGGTAGGGAAAAAAAAGAAGACGAATATTCAACGTTGATCTCCCTCAAACTGCTTCACTTCTCACTTGAGGTTGAAGAAAAATTCGAACTCAAAGTTTATGCAATGCTCTATTTTTAACATGAAAAAATGATAAAAGTAATGTAATTGACCTTCAATTAGAATTTGTCGAAACACCTGAAGACTTAATCCATTTCGGATATTTCAATATTCAATTAGATCCAGTTTTCTCGATCCACCCCGTAAATTACAAACCGACATGTCAATTTTTTCTAGAAATTTGAGAACTCATTACAACATCAATCGTATTTCAGTCGGTTCTTTCCATTCTATTTCCACGTTAATTTATTCCAAGTGCTCCATAAGCGCGTCACATTCTTTGAAATTGATTCATTTCCTTCAATCCCTTTTTTTGGTTCAAGTTGAGAATACTCCACAGTTATTTTCAAACCTTTCGAAGAAATTCCGTGGGGATGTCCAGGGCTTTGGTGAGACGAGCCAGATTGATGAAACCTTCCTGCTGCAATTTCTCGTTCAGATTTTCCGCTACTCCATCCATGTATTCGCACGAGAGAAGTTCCCCCATGCTAATCTGGAATTTCCCTTGTCTCGCGAGTGACTCGGAACATTCTTCGATGCGATTGTAGTCGACATTCAGTAATGTCGAAAGTTCAGCGACCCCCAGGCGACCTTGAGATTAAACCAACAGCATTGAATTAAGGTATTTTACGGACATCCCTTCATTCAGTGCTACGAATCTCCCTCCATCGTGTTTTCAATGGAAATCCTGATTTTAGGGTGCCACAAAACTGTATCGTCATGAATGAGAAATGAGCCGTGATCAAGGAAATTTACGTTTTTCTTCCACGGAAATAATTTGTTCATTACTGAGAAGCACGTGCCCGTTCTCAAGATAATTTTCTAATTTATATTTCTGGATTTGCATGTCATTTGGTGGCATTATTCCGATGTCCTCGTCCACAGTGGAGAGCATCTCCTCAACTGAAATAGTATTTTCAAAGAATTGAAATCAATCATTTTACTTTATCTTGGATTCGCCTACTTTCATTGAAAGCTTGAAACAAAGAAACTGCTCTGCTCTGTTACTCGACACAATTTGCGCAAAAATATATCTGAAACATTCTGGATCATCACCAACCTCCGTGAAGGTACAGTTCATCCTGAATTTCCCGGGCAAGTTGAGCGGGAGTAACGTATTGTCTCGCGTCGTTCGTGAAGTAAACTTCGAGCAGTTTCATCTCCACCAACTTGCTCACGACCTCCACGCAATTCCGCTCAGACAACCTACATCAAATCACGCAAAGCATCAAAATTTAAACTTTCAAAATTTTAAAAATACATTTTCAAGACATTACCGTTGAGAACTCGATGCTGATTGCGCACGCTGCAAGTCGCTCGCGAGCCGCTTCACTTCTTCCCACTCGTCAATCATTTTGATTCACTTACCAAAAGCTCTGGGGAAAACAAAAACCAAGTAGAAGCACAAGTTAGCAGAATCACGAAGAAAAAGGTCAGGTTGGACACACGAAAATAGGCTGAATGAAGAAGAATGCAATGTGTTTCATAACCATGACAAACAAAAACAAAATCACAAGTGAAACCTCAACGCCCGTCTATCCGTTTGTCCCTCGTTAGAACCTCTTCGTCGAACTTCACCATAAAAGTCGTGCCCTTGTGCCAATGGGTCGTGACTTTGCACGGCTGGAAAAAAAGGATTTCCAATTTATTTCAAATTTTTAAAAACCATCCATGATGACGTGTATAGAATTGAAAAGACTATATGATGATTTATCTCCAATCATCAACTCCTTCATTGGGACACGAAGAATATAAAAAACACGTTTCAAGGGGTAATTTGAAATTATTCAACTTCTATCACAATAAACTACACCAACTGAAATGAAGGGAACCCCATTCCCGTGATTTCAATCAATTCATTAAACTTTCACGAAATCTGAATGCTGCCAAATAAAAAGAAAATCAAGTTCATGCCTAATGAATGTCCCACATCTGAAAACTAGGGGCATAAAATTTAATCTTTCCAATGCTTGTGCAAGTGATACAGAATATGAAGATTGTCTAAAAAAAGGGTGAGGAAAAAGTTGGAATTTCAATTTTGGAGCTTCCTGAACAAAATCCCTCCTTTAGTCTCAACTCACTCCACAATATGTGCCTAATTTTGAGAACTTATTCGATTGATTGATCTAACAGATATTCATTTCATTTGAACCTTGATGAGTCAAACCTCTTCAAGTCAAATGTCTCCCTGTGCCAAAATATTTCAAAGTCTCAGTCTGAGTTACCGTATTTACTTGAGTACCACGCGCCCCAAAGTAAGGCGCGCACAGGGGTTTTTCAGTTGAAATTTTTGCAAAAATATCATCCACAAATAAGATGCGCACCTCAATTTTTAGTGAATCAAAAACCATGAAATTTCAAAAATAAAAACAACAAATTTGACTTTAGATGTGAGTTGAACAAAAATCTGATCAATTTTCAACTTTTTCAGTACAAAAATGTTTTCTTGTTACATTTGTTCCAAATTTCTCCATTATAATTGAGTATAATGCGCACATAACTTCCTAAAACTTCTTGAAAATTTTGTACCCACTTACAACGCACACCCCTTTTTTTCTTCTGTAATTTGGGAAAAAAGGTGCACCTGGTACTTGAGTAAATACAGTATTTAGGAATATTGCATTAAAAACCTTCCTAACTGGAAGTCTTTCCCCTAACGTCAATAACTCAAACTTTTGGAGGCATTTTGACTACCGTATTATTTTAATGACACAGTAAAGAAAAATTCAACTTCTTGATAGGTTTTGAAAGGAAGTGAAAGACTGATGGGGCAAATGAACCCTTGCCTCCAAGTTCAGCATAATGTCAACTCATTCGAAAAGCTATTTGAGGCCGAGAATATCACCAATTACAATTTTCTGTAAATCTTTTTTTTTTCTTCAAAACAAAACACTTCATGTCCAACGAAACTCCACTCACAAATCCAGAACCACAAAGAACAGCCTCCACGATTCCGGCTGAAAATGCAGCACAGTTCAAGCTTCCTTTATCCTTCGGAACAGAGATGAATTTGTTGACGAGAGGTTCTTTTTCAATCAAGTAATACGTTCGTTCGTCGTCATTCGCGCGCTCAAGCTTGTCCGCCTCTTTGCCAAACAATGCCTGAAAGAAAAACCCCATTTTCATTATTCTTCAAATTCAAAACCCGTTAGCTTCTCGCGTGAAACCAAACCTTCCAAAATGAAGTTTTGAGGAACATCATGATACTGAGGATCCGCAAGTCTCGTTTGCCTCCTCTCTCACGTAGGACAACGAGATCAAGCATACGACTTCCAACATGGAAACCCAAATCGGACAAGCTGAAAAATAATAAGAATTGAATCAATCATTGCACAAACGCGGATGATAACCGAACTTGTATTAAAATGAGACCTCGTCCAATTCAAATGAAGTCGAGCATATTTTAGTATTTGACAGTTGATGCCTCACGACAGCTTGAAATTCGTCGGCTTTGAAAATAATTTTGTCTTCAGTTAAGCACGACTATTTAATGCAATAATCTTTCGTCGCGAAATCACGATTGCTTACAACGATATTTTCTTCTGAAAATATTACAGCAGTTCCTGAAATTTTTCAACTACAGAGTGAAGGTCGAAAAATGTACAAGACATTTTCATTAATTCTGAAATTCAAAGATCTAAAATGTATGCATTTCAGTCACTTGGAAAATAGAAGGAAATTTCGATCAAGATGCCCTACTTGAAAGAGATTCAATCCGTCTCGTTTCCGAGGCATGGTTGCCAGTACAATATAATATACAGTACAATATAAGCAGGTCCGAAAAAAACGTGCCAAGGATTATTTTTTTTTGCAAATCGGAGAGCAATACAATCGGACTCCGAGATACGGACGTAATTTTCTTGGGCCTTGTATGTATGTCGGAACATCCGACAGATGTAGATCACATTTTCTCATAGACTTCAATGGGAACACATTTGATGGTTCTCCATTCTGGAAAAAGTCCCCAATTGTTTCTCTACTTCAAGATGCAGAAATTAACTGTTCAAAAGATAACCACACTCAAAAAGAAGCCCAAAAGGCAAGGAATAAATGCATGTCTTGCTATACTGAGCACAGATGATGGAAAAACCCCCTCAAAAGAGAAGTAAAAAATTAGCCTGATTGGAATTATTACTTTAATCAAATTTATAAGAATTATTTTAAATTCTTGTGCATATGCATAGCTCATTTATTCCAGAGATATCAATTTTCTAGTTTTTCAGAAAAAATTTTGGATGCGTCATAATTTCGACATTTCATTGAGATGTTGAGGCAGATTTCCGGAGTTCCAAGTGTGCCCAAATCGAATCGTCCTATTCTCGGGGTCCCACGGTATTTTAAAAATTACAGTATATTTAAAAAATACTGACCGTTTTTGCAGTTCGGGAACAGTTTGGCTCCGGTTTTGAGAATACTGCACGATTTCAGAAAACAGAAACGCGTACGCACTCACGTTCAAGTCAGTACGACCGCGGTTCAACGATTTGTCTAAAATTCCGGTTTTCATGGCTACATTCACCAACAGATTTAGAAAAAAATTCATCAGTGACATTCAAAATCGGAACACTTTCACGCAAATAACAGTCACGAAAATGCACTTTTCATTTTCCGCCACTGATGCGTTCTTTGGGAGCGAACAAATGACTAAACGACCACACACGAAAAAAAAAAAAGAATCTGATGGCGCATTGATATTTGAGCCACGATTACAGCCAAAGCTTTCGTTTTCTTAGATTCGCAGTTGTACCTCAAATTCCAACACTGTAATTCAATTCTGCAAGAAATCGAAGCTCAAATCTTGCTTTGCCAGCGGATGATTAAATTTCAGGCGGCAAAACATTCATATCCTTTCCAAATGCATCCAAGTAGAAAATCACGGGTTTTTTTCAGACCAACGAAAGAAAGGCAACATTCCAAAACAGAGACACGGGGAGCAAAAAAGTTACTGCGCAGCAAAAAGTCGGCGTTGAAATTTAGTCTCATACCTTCAGAAAAGCAATGATACGTTGATTCGTCCACACTTTGAAGTTTCATAGAGACTAATCATTCAAAATAACGCATGTCAGGCGCTTTTCATTTCACAGAAATGTCACCAACAATCCTCGCAATACTGCTGCGAACACAAGAGGAGCTCTAACGCAGACCGCAGTTAAAATTCCTCCGAGTGGAATCAAACTTAAATTGTGAGAGTCAGTGAAACCCACCAACGCCGAAACAATTCTTCACAGTAACGTGCGACGTAGGAAAATTGATCACAACTTTTTCATTCCACAGGAAGTTTTTTGAAGCCCTAAAATTCATGATAGATGTTCTCAGAGCACCAAGAGTCAGTTCAGAAGATGAGGTACGACTGGACAGCAACACAGTGCTGAAAATAAAACTTGAGGATTATCAGCGAATACGAGGAAACGCGTCTTCTTCTTCTTCTGAGCGACCTAAACGTCGGTTATTTCAGAACTTTGATCACTCCGAGTAAAAGCCGAGACAAACTCCGCAAAAAACAGCATCTTTCGAGGACGATATAGCTTTTCTTCTTTAGTCAAAGCATCAAAATAAGCTCGGAACACATCTCGTGTATAGAAGCTCGCGAGGACGCACTTGAAAATCTTTTCTTCTTTTGTCAGGCAAGAAAAAAGGCGATGTCAGCGAGTTCACAACCACTGTGAACAGTACCAATTGACTCCAGCATTGCGATGGTACCGAAATTCGAAGATTCCCTGAAGATCACAATTTTTTGGGGGATTTCTTCCGAAATTAATTTACCACCCCCTGAACGGTTGATGACAACGAACGTTGATTAGCTGCTGCTGCTGCTTTCCGATTTCGCGCAATCGCAACTGCCCCACCTGAGGTGAATTCTTCGCTCGCTGAACTTGGGGCTTTTCTCAGCTGATTTCCGCCATTTGAACACGCGTACTGACGCGACTGAGAGTGAGACCCTTGCAAACGAAGTTGCGAGGCTTGTCGTTTTTCAAATGCTCGATTCGAGGAGAATTCATCAACAATTTCGTAGGTGTTCAGGAACAGGTACCGAGAAAACATGATGTAAAGCACCCGGAACCAGACCATTTGACTCGCATGAGCTTTCATAGCTTTCTGTGAAGAAAAAAGGGAATAGTTTTCGAGGCATCTCAAAACTTAGCTAATTTTGTGATCAACCAGAATTTCACTCCATAATAATCAATGAACTCCACTCGACCCCCAACAAACTTTACGTCCGAGACACCAGGCACAGGCTCTCGAAACTATGATGAAAACCAACACGTGAATACAGAAATACGGTGGTGATATTTTCATCAAGGAAGAACCCAGTCTTCATATTTTATATTCCACGAAGAAATTTAAATCAATGAAAAATGCAATTGTCAATAAAAGCACTCCAAAAACGGAAAAATTCAATAAAACCCACTTGTATTCGATACCTCTGCGAAAGTGAGGCAAGGCACGCCACTTGAGCCTGAAAATAGGCAAATGGAACTTCCAACAGAGGAATATACTTCAATGAGGTCGGCACCGTCGTCAATGATAAAAATCTGCAATCTGCAAGACAATGGACGTTTTGAAAAACGATTTCGACAATTCCAGTTCTGCTAACCTCCCTGATCATTTTCAAAAATGTGCATTAGCAGGAATTTTAGGATGACACTCAAGAATCAATATTTCGAAGGACTTTCTCCAAAACGAGTTTAGGGATATTCAGCTTTGCATGCAGACTTTCGAAGAGCAACTACAGTATAACAAAATCGGGAATATCATTCAAAAAACTTCATTTCAACCATTTCCACTGCAAATCAACGTTGTGGTCCACATTCACGATTTTGAGTAGCTCCAGATTTTAAAAGCTCATAGGACTGCCGCTGTTCCCAAAGCCCGAGCAACTAAACGTGATTATTTAGTTTTCCCTCGAGAACGCTCACTTAAAAGAGTAAGTTTCCTACAGCAACCGATCAAAATTAAAAGTTCAGAAAACAGTGGAAAAGGCCAAGGGCTGAAGCTCACATGAAGGCAGAAGGCGAGTGAAGATCAAAAGCTGAACACCGGAGAACAAGGCCCTGTGGTTTGGGTGATTGCTGACGCCACCATGGTCAAAAGTTATCACCTATTCCGTAGAAAATATTGACAGCTTGAATTTCAGCTCAAGTACGTGAGCATCAGAAAACTTACAGCGTTGCACTGGTAGGTTTCAACATATCGCAGCACCAATGCAGCGATGGTATTGCAACTCCAATTGGCTTTCGGATCATCCTGCAGATTAGAGAAACTGTAGAAAAGAGAGTTACGTCAGAATAGCACGAAAAAGGTGCCGCCAAATAACTACGCACTTCAACACGATCACATTTTCCGGCGGTATTTTCAGAATTGCGCAACTTTTGAGCAACTCTTGTCGACGAGTTTTCGGACAGTTCTTTCCATAACTTCCTGAATTGAAAAGATAAATGCGCTCATGCGTCCAGCGATAGAATGTCACTCATACGAACCAGTTGAGAAGCACAGAACATAAACAAGAGCTCCAGCCTCAGTAAGCTCAAGAATTGTCGGTCCGAAGAACATGCATTCATCGTCTGGGTGAGCTATAACGAGTAGTGCCCGTTTCTTACTGCCACGCGAACAGCATTCTTCGCGATACACGTCTCGATTTTCTTCGTGGAAGCGCGGGAATTTCTTAGACTTTTTCGGTTTGAACGTAAGAAGAACTAACACGAAGAATATGAACACTCCACCCAATGCACAAACAAAATGAAGCGCGCCATGTAAGTCTACTGCTTCAGCAGCCGCTGTAAACCATTCGGTGTGCAAACCATCCTGAAAAACAGAGTTCATCTTCCGAAAGAACGCGTTACAGTTAGCAATGGCTTTCGCATTGTTGAACTGAATTCAAGTGGCAGCTATTCTCAATGGTGCCCGGACGTCGAGATACACTTTTCAACTCGACGTCACTCACTTGCACGCTACCACAAGCTTCCCAAGGGGAGAGCCCAAATAACTTCGCAGGCAAGTCGAGAACCTGAAAGACTGAAGGTACAAGCGAAGCAGACCATTTGTGCTCATTTTTTCGTTAATGTTTATTTGAGTTGACACAGAGCTTTCGGGATAAGTACCGCAGCTTCCAACACAAACACAGCACAGCTGTATAACACTGAACAACTGTCTTTCATTGGGATTTCTCAATTTGAGAGAATTATCCATGAATTAGCAATTAAAATACAACAAAATTGTCCTAACACTGTGATATTTTCTTATACGCATAAGGGGTTATTGGTGTTCCTGTACATGTCCACAATGTTACTGCATACAGTGCATAGACAGGTTTCCCAAAATCACATAATGTGTTCAGTCCTGAATTCTGTGCATATTTAGCTCTTATTACTTTGCAAAAATGCAGATCTTGAAAAAAACCAACATGTTCATGTTTTTTCGTTCCCCAAATGACATGTAGTGATATCCGACAACAAAGAAGAATAAATAAAACTGATTTGCTAATATCTGTCAGTCTGTATATGCACTTCTGGAAAATAAAATATCCATTGAAGAAAATTTCTCTCCCCAACCTATCTAACGTTTGCTGCAGAGAATATCAATTTCACATAAATAGTTCTTGGTTCTTCGCTACATTTTACGCTGCAGCATCAGGCTCGATGTTCTCTGGATCCAGCATGCTTTTGAAAAATGAACAAAATCGCAACTCGCATTTTCATAAGCAATCATGCTGTTTGTTTATAGTCAGCACAAACCAGTACCAGAAGCCAAATTCATTTCAGGTTCGGCCCACCAACGACCCGAAAAAAAAAATCATCCACAGAACGCGGCAAAATTGTCCACAGTCATGAAATCTCGGAACTACAAACAATGCAAGACCATACACATACAGTACTTCATCAATTCCGATGGCAATGACAAATTTGGAATGTAGCGCAAAAGTTCGGATAACCAAGTGCGCTCGGAATCCTCCAAAACGCTCTATATTGCACAGTTTAAACTCACGCCGCCCAAAACGATATTAACTCAACACTTGAAATTCAGCTTCTCCACAAAAAAAAAAAAGAACCCAGCGCCCATTTTGAACTAAAAATTCATTCAGTCGTCTGGGTCATGGTATCCCGGGTTCTCTCTTTTTTTTCTTTCTTCTCTCTCTTTCAGATCGCGTGAAGGTACCCGAGGCTGACGCTTTCTCTCTTTCGCATTAATACGGCTCTTCCAAAAATGGGCTCGACTACGATTCGGTTACGATACCACATAAAAGACACGTGACGGGTCGCTTCCTCAAGCTTTGGACTCCTGTCGATCGCCAACTTCTTTCTGCAACTGCTTCCCAAGATATTCCCTAAAATAAAAACACATCACGCGTCAGTATACACAAGAATATGACCACATATACATAGAAACCCATCAGCCACAAGAAAATCCGGAACGAACAAAAAAATTAAAGAGACACACAGAGTAACTTTTCGTGGGATAAATATCGCATTTGGAACGGATTTAAAATTCGCCCTTTCGAACGCGCCGTTTCGGTAATTCGCGATCTTTGACATTCATCGCGTCAATTGCCCGGATTGACCCAACGTCTCCCAACTGAGAAGCGTCGCGAATTGTCAAACGATTCTTGCGGAGATCTGTTACCCCCAGGGCTCTGCCAGCTGGGCCAAAGTCATTCGAATATGACGGCTGCAGAAACCTTCACGAATATTTGAGACACGCGTTGATAACTTGTAGAAAACAAAATCGGGTACAATTATACCCCGGCTAATGGACTTATCGCACTTATCACGGGGTTGCTATCGATTTTTGATTCGGATAAAGGAGCCTGATTAAAAAAAACCATTTGGAAATGAACCCTTCCTATCGAAAACACAGCAAAACGTTGTGCGTTCTTTATTTGTTGTTTTAAAAAAAATCACAGAAAAAATGAGAAAATATCACAAAATGTAGAAAATATTATTAAAGCAAAACAAATTTGAATTTTTTAGCTGGGCTGACAAATTTTAGCACCACCTGACATGAAATTTGTAACTCATCATCATGCAGTGAATTGAATAAAATTGAAAAAACCCGAGAACCCTTACATAATGGGTTACATTAATTTTTTTTCTACAGCCACGCCTACTTTCGAGATCACCAAGGTTGTGTCCAAGTGGAACAACCCTCGTATGCGTTGATTTACAGTATTCAAAAATGTACGAAGGAACATTTCGAAAGGAACCTAAATCGTATTGGTCATTTAATATACCACAGCTTCACGTTACCGCACTCGGTTCAGGGATTTCTTCGTGGTCTTGAATCAATTAACCAGACCTTTTCACAGTAAACTACTGCTTTCATAGTCTTTTTCGTATACAGGGTATCGACTTAGTTTATGAAAGAATTAAGTTCATTAACTGAGACACAACTGCAATGTAGGGCAGAATACGACGAAATATTTCTCGAATAAATTCACAACTCTCATATGGATATTTTTCATGAATTTCAGGGATCAAGTCTTTAATATTGAACGCTATCGAATCTAAAAATGACACAAAAGTCAGACATATATTTTTGAGAATCTTGTCGCTCAGTTCACAAACGTTTCCGAACTTCAGCGAAAGTCAACTTTTCCGAATAAAAAAATTACATAAAATATCCTGAAGTTGAACGCCAATCAACTCGAAAAAAAAAACTATCATGAATAGCCCTTCTTACTCCGAAAAATGATTAATCTTCCTCCAAGTTAATATAAAATCACACAAGGATCATTGAATTTACAATCTTCGAAGTAGAGCAACTCGAAAGAACATCTGGTTTCACTCACCAGTTGTGCACCATGAGTTTCTGAACAGCGAGAAGAGCTTCGTATCTCACATTGGGATCAGCATGCGTGAGGTGTTGCATCACCTGATGTTTCCCACCAAGTTGTTCAATCACACTGCAAAAAAAAAAAAAATAAGACTTTTTATCAAAACATTTTCTTCCACGAATGCGTGTCAAGATTTTGCCCAACAATTTCACATAGGTTACATGCCTCAACATCACATCAGGTTCGGTTTTTCAAAACTGATAGAAATTCATGCATGACAGAACATTCACCTACAGTCCTACACCATAACCGATTTCGTTGCACCACGGTTGCAAAAAAATTTAAAAACATTTGCAAGAGAGGAAAAGTAAACTCACTGTTTCCCACGAGGATAATGACGAACGTACTCTCCGATATCGTGATTGGCAACTGATAAGACAAGCGGTTCCCGACTAGTCTGAAGAAGGTTGATGAGAATTTTCAACAACTCGTAGTTGTGGTCATTCAGACGAGACGCATTCTCCAGCCAGAACCTTTCAGATCGATGCACCGGACTCCATTCCAGTCTCCCACTCTTCACTTCGGTCATGTACTCGTCAAACGAGCTGAAATACGCGTAAAAAAACAAAAAACACACACTTTTTTTTATCAAACAGGTCCTCGAAAGATCTTCAATAAGAAAGCTCCAACCTCAAGTCGACCACGGATGAGGTCAACTTGTCGACCAAGAAATCAACATCACTCTGGAGCTCTTCGTCTTCCAGGTTTCTTTGCTGCAGGAGTTCCAAGTGCTTCAGTACCTTGCACTGCACCATTGCCATGCAATGGTCACGTCGAATGGTATCCTCTTGCGTTTTTTCCACCAAATTCTACATTTAAAAAATAACCATGAAATCAAAGGCGGTGATCATATTAGTCATTCGGAAAAGCTCTACGCACCCTGAACACAGCCAGAATGATCCTGGTAACCTTCTCTTTCACAGATTCGCTCAAAATGTCCGCCAGAGTCGGGATAACTTGGAATTTTCCCATGGCTGCTGCGAGCCTGGGATTGAAAGTAAGTACCCAGATGCAAAACGCAAGCTGGTACTGCACTTGGAAGTTTAGTTTTCCCTGCAGAACTGAGATCAGAACTGCAATTCCGTCAACTTCCACGAAGGCGAAACGGTATTCATCGACCCTCAGCATCATTTGCAAGCACCGTGCAACGCTTTGAATATACTCGTTGTTCTAAAAAAAACAGAAAAAGAAGGTACGATTAGAATACTTTCTTGAACAAAGAAACACATGAAACAGACACACACAAATTCATATTGATCATTTGTATGAATGTCATGATGCACAATCAATGCTGAATTTTGTGCCAACTCATTTAGTGCGACAAATATGTTTTACCATGACTGGAAGATAGGACGAAATCAAAGAAAGTAAGGTCTCTTTCAAAGGTCATTACTGAGAAGCATATGCACATGCTCAAAATAATTGTAAAAATTATATTTCTGCATTTACTTGCCATTGGGTGGCACTACAGTATTTGGATGTCCTCCACACTGAAGACCGTCTCCATACCTGGATTAACCTTTTCAAAGAATTAAAATCATTTTACCCCATCTTGAATTTGTGTGCCTTCATTGAAAGGCTGATACAAACCTTTAAACAACAGCTCTGCTATTTTACTTGACACAATTTGTAAAAACAATTTATTTGTTTTGTATAGTTGATTAAATTGAAATGAAATACAAAAACAGTGCATTTTAGCTTCAAGTTATTGTTTTGAGCCTTTCTCTCTTATAAAACAGTTCAATAAAGGAACACTTCTGCAAGTAAGCTCATATTTCTTGCCGTGTAAGCCCTCGAAAAAAAAATTCCTATCAAAGAATACCACGAATTTAGCGCCACAAAATGTACCAGGACAAATCATGATCAAGTCATAGTTTTAGTTGACTCTAAATTAAGGTTGGAATGTTTACGAGCTCTTTACACCGGTTATAACCCTGAAAATTTCAACTTACCGCAATCTTCAGCTGATCCTTCAACCACGTGAGATAAAAATGAAGATCGGAACCTTCCATCAACTCATTCGTCCAACAAGCCATCTTGGCAATAACTCTTGCAGTCATGTTCACAATAAACGGATCAGTTCGGTTAAATAAGTTCAAAAACGTGCTCCAAACGGACTCCTTTCGCTTGGCAGCGAACTCCTTGAATATTTCAACCCTCGTTTGATCCTCCTGTACGTAATGAAAATACGAGCTCATGACGATACATTTTTCTCCATAATTGAACAATTCGCGATCCTTGCCTTAAAAAGGTCATCAATCAACACCAAGAGATACTGGACAGTCTGATCTTTCGACACATGACCCAGCAAATTGAGGAACGTCTTGGCGCACTGAGTGCGACTCTCATTGATAAAATCAGCACGCGATTTCCCAATCAGCTTCTCCAACGTCATAATAAAGTTGTAGTCTTCTTTGCTGATCATCTGACTTCTGCAAAAAGAAGCCAAAACAGGAAAGAGTGCTGAAATATTGCTTAAATAATCGAAAAATATGTGATAGTACTTCAAATACGACATCCAATTGACTCGCTGAGCCCGGATCTCATTCGCCCGTTGTTGCAAGACGCTCGTCGCAGCGGCAAGATCTGAAAAGTCAAACAAAAATCCCGTATAAACAATCCCAAAATATATGACAAAGTCCGATCGCATTTCGAACTGTTCGTCCGAGCTTCCTCACCAGATTTAGCCCATAACATCCGGTGTCTAAAATTAGCTTCTTGTCGTCTATCCCTCATATTACTACTCATGATTACAAATTTTAAACGCGAATAACTCGATGAAAAAATAGACTTTCAACGTTATTTCGCTCACCTTCTTGCTCGATGTCTGGAGCAGCGACATTATTCGCAGTCATTTTCGGATATTTTCCTGTTTTACCTGCTTGAAAATAAAATAATTAAAATGCTTCATTACTTCGCAGAAATTGGCAAATAGTTCGCAGAAATGCCGAGAAGTTGTATCAGTCAGTGCTAGTCTGGGTGAGGGGATCTGGAGATTACATTGACTTGCCAACATTATGGCATTTCAGATAATCAAACACAAAACTTCACACCGAATGTGCCTAACGGAGGGTCTACTCAGATCATCGAAAATTTTAAGATACTAGCCTCTCAATAGAAAATAATTTTGAAACTTGAAAAAATCAAAGAAATACTCTTATTTGAGGCGCATCAACAGAATTCCATCAACCAGACTAGCACTGAAGAGCATGAACACACATTTTGGGGAACCTTCCGGAATTCGGAAATTTCTTACACAGCCTCAAAAGCAGAAAAAATCGCGCGAAAGCTAAAAATGCACAAATCTCACAATATAAAAAAACAAAATGTAACCGAGTCCCTCGGTTTAAATTGCGCCCAAATTGGTAATATTGCTTGAACAGAACATCAAAGGCGGATGACAAAAACCCGGACAAAATCCGGTGCCTTGGAGACAGCGTGCTCGAACTCCGCGAAGGACAGCGCTCTGTCTTCATCAAGATCAGTCTCCTCCAAGAGATGGCCGACGAGTTTCGTATTTTCCGCAGGTAGAAGATAATTTGGCGAGACGAGGCGATTGATGATTTCGCCCAAATCTTGAGCACTTAGCAAATCATCCCCGTCGAAGTCGAATATCCGAAAGGCGTATTCCAGCTTCACGGACGCAGGTGCAGCGTCGCTGAACACAGACATCATATCTAGAAAGTCTTCAAAGGAGATTCTACCGTCTTTGGTTGAACTGAATACTTGACAGATGCGATCCCCAAACGGGTTCACTCGTAACTCCGGAAGAGTGCAAACCAATTCCATGCTCAACGGATTTTGCTTCGATTCACTCACTTTCTGAGGATCTAAAGCCCTGAACTTCTTGTACGCAAGGTATATTTCTTTTTTGGTTAGGTACGTCAAAATCTGATAGTCGTCAAGCTCTTCCTGAGTGAATTCTTTCCCATGTGATAAACCCATGGCTATTTCTCAATAGAAGACACACGGGACCTGGAAAAATTAAAAAGGAAGACGATGAATTAACTAATCGCTGCATTCCGAAATGAAAGTTTAACCCGCGTACCGTCGTTCAAACATTTGGACACTTCGAATCTCGAGTCAAAGTAAACACAAAGAACACCCTTCGTGATGTCACCAGCAAGACAGAACGGCATTGCCAAAAATACAATTCACAGATTCGAAAAAAGAAAATTGAAAAAATGAGCCGAACGCGAGGCAACGGGAACGCACGTGAAAAGACGCCTGACTCGGTTGACCACAGAGAGATGCATGCATGCAAGCGAAACGAGCAACGGCCACGTGATTCCTAAAGATATGCGGAAACTGCTTTGCATACGCTTAGACGCAGCGGTAAGCTACGAGAGGGGATCACATTCGGAGTCCGACCGGCTGGATATTCAGTCATCAGCTGGATTTTCAGCAGCAGCGCTTTCAGTTTCCCTCTGACGAACTAACACGAGAACAACGACGCAATGTGCTCACTCGGAACACGTGAACCAATTCATTACCATGACTCCTTCTTTCAGGATTCCAACAATGCGACATCTATTCATGCGACATCTATTTATATGATAGTTGCGGACAAAATGTATCTGCGATCATCACTTTCTCAGGTTCCTTTACACTTCAGCTCAATCATTTACGCAGTCCTTCTGGCACACCGATCTGCGTCCAACTGTGTGGTAACTCGCGGTAAGTTCTGTTCTTCGAAATCGCAGCACATACATTTTCCAAGGATTACAGTGCAGGGGTCCACACAAATAATACATGTAAAAAGGCCACAGCAGTCAATGAGACACAATGCAACAGATTCTACCATAACAAAAAACTACATTTTATACTCGAATTGAATTCAAAATTTTACTTGACATCCAGGCAAACAAAAACTTAACAAAAGTTTGTACAGCTATAAAAAATATCGCTTCCGTGTATATTTTAGTTCTACTGTACTCGTTTAATAAATCGAATACCGTATTTGTACTGAGGTACAATAATCATGAATAATGCACCCTCAAGGATATGAGACACCAGCACACCTCAGATTTTTTGGAAAATTCTTTTCCTTCATCAGTGTGCACCTTATGTTCCAGTTACCAAAATTTATATTTGAAAAACTGCGCTGGGTAAAAATCTGAATGTAGAAGCCCACTCAAAAATCAAATTCAAGGCAATTTTTCAATATACTGCTTATGAGGAACTCTGAAAAAAGATTTGGAAGTAAGAAGAGTTTCCAATTCTTCAACAAAAAAAAAGTCACTTAAAATTGTTTACACAGCTATGACATGCACCTAATTATCAGCTCCAATGTAATGTAAAAAAACCGGGGTGGATGGGGACCAGTATATACGGTACTGTACTTCCTCTTCGACAAAACGACCAAATCTTTGTAACCTCCAGCACTCAGTGAGATATTCATCAGATGTTCAGAATCAGAATATACAGTATTGCACATCTGTATTTCATTCAACGTGCTGTAGTTTCCAAGGAACATGTTGAATTCTATAAAATTGAACATCAGAAGATGTTGCGTTTCACATGAACTGAAAAATTTATATGAAGTAACATAACTAATCTAGGAGGGTAGAGTACAGGTATTGGTTTTTTTTTTAATGCAAGGATACCCAATATATTGCCATTACACGGAAGTCCATGTTTTAGACTTGATCAGCTCGTCCAACAAGATTAAGAGATGTGTACATCATCAACATATTCGCTCAAGACTTCAAACTGGATCACAATCATTTATTACGCCAAACACGCACACATCCATCATCTCGTCACAATTTTCGCACTTCATCGTAGAAAAAAAAAGAGCGTACAAAAATGCATGAATATTGAAAACAATCTCATTCATATCACGCGTCTTCGACTGGTCTTCGACAGCCAATATAACGTAATACAGGCAGGACTGTGCAGAACGAATGAAATCCCGTTTCAAAACTTAAGGCTGATTGCGAGCGAAAAATCGTTGAATTTGAGACTCCGACGACATCGTCGTATGCAATATACACACACTATTGAAAATAATAATTACGAAGAAACTGCTTTCACGTTACTGCGTTTGGATCTCAGGTACGCAGCCATGAGTTTGTTCGGATTATTCGGTCGCTTCCTGTCTCTGCACCTCGCATGCTCTTCTGCACTTTCTCCTATGAGCTTCGCCAACTGGAATTCGCTGTCGTCCAATTTTCTCAACAGCTTTTCGACGAACTGACTCTCTGAACCGGTCCCGAATGCCAATTTTCTTATCAACGGAAAACTGAAACACAGTAATATTTTTTTTTAATCATCACGAAATGAAGTACAATACCTTACATCAAATTACAGTTGAACCTCTCTAAGCCAAACTTCAAGGGACTTTAAAAAAAATCGAGTCCGGGAAACGACGCATTTTTGCAGGGGAAAGAAATAAAGAATTGCAGGAAATTTTATTGGCTGATTGTCTGGACTTTTAATTGCTTTTTAAATGAGTAGACAGAATGCTGAACTTCATCTTCAAGCTTCTAAAAATCTAAAAAAGGAGTGCATACAGTTTCGTAAAAACGGTAATTAAAATTACATACAGTATTTCCAAGTGGCATTCCAAGACTGAGATGCCTTGAAAGCAGTACAATCCATAAACAGAAATTGGTATAAGCGCTGCAGTTCAAACAAATTACGATAAATTCGAACTCACCGAGATCTAAACGTTGTGATGATGGAAGCACCGATCGCTTCAGCATCTCTGATGTTCAAACGAAGCAGATGAACTCCGAACTCGTAGAAATAAGGTCGAATGTGCGGCAACGAAACGACGGTGGCATCGGCATCCAAGACATTCCGTTCCGCAGTCTGGTAACCTTTCGGCACAAGCGCAGTGCACACGAACTTTTTCTTGATGGCAAAATTCTGAAAGATATCGAATTTATTAGAAAAATACAGACACTAAGAAATCAGTGGATAAAGATGGACTCTTCCTACAAAAAAAAAAAATCCAGGAGAACCAAAAGAGAATACGTCGTGGAGAACACTTATAACTGGGGTAGAGAACCCTGGATGGACTCAAACATTTTTTAGACAGAGAAATTCTTTCCAGAAAGATCCTAAGCGTATACGATTGCAGTACCTCAAATAGGTAATGCATTTTGGGAATGAGACTCCGAATTTTGACAAGAAAAATAAACAGCAGAAATTATGACACGGGAACAAATTTGGCATGGAGAAAAGATTGAATTGATTTCTCGTGGAAGAAGATAAAATTAGATCACTGTGGGGCTCAGAAATCCTGGCGATTCGACTTAGAGACACTTGAAGCTCAAAATACATCCAGACAATGTTACAAGATACAAGCAATTTGCCAACATGTCAAGAAAATGGAAGAACAGTACTACTGTATTTTTTTTTTTATCATGACACTGCACCTCGAAAAAATTGCGCTAAATCTCTTGGCAAAAATTCAGAACACAGTGAATCTCATAATGAATCATTCTCATTTAAAATCCAAAGCAAACTAATTTCATGTTCGATCTTTCTATGGCTTTTTTTTTTTAAACATTTGTGCACAGTTTATCAAGACTTGTGATTTATTTTGGACTCATTTCCACCCCAAAACAGCTGATTCTGCGTGATTTTCTTCAGCACATTAATTTTCTTTACGATGAAGTTGATGAACAAATTCATTCACTTTTTCGGGGGTCGTCCTCCGAATTTTTTGACGAACAAGAAAACTAATGGATTATGTTCCCACATAATTCTAAGGGAAAATATGACCCACATGCAGACGTTCGAACATAGAGACAAAAATTAAGAACCAATTACGTCCGAATCTAGGGGCCCCACTGCATTGCACTCAAATTTCCACACAAAAAATCTTTAGAACCATTTTAGAGGACCTGTGTTTATCTTGTATACGCCCCAACTCGGAAACACGACGGATTTCATCTCTCTCAATCCATTTCCTTCTCCGAGTGAATGAAATGTACGAGTTTAGAATTGTTGAATTTTCATAGGAATGAAAAGTCTTGTAAATCGTTGGACATTCATTTTGTTAAGCACCTGTACTGTACTTTAAAAAGTTCAAGCACTGCTTCAATATTTTCAGCAAAATAAAGTAGTAAAAAATCGTGATTTCGGGAAGGAAGATAATCGCATGAAATAATGAACAGAAGAATCAACTAAATAAGTTCCCATTCAGGTCTACGAGAATATGTGATCCGACATGGGGGAAATAAGTCCAAGCGTTAATTACGTCCGCATCTCGGGGGCCCCACTTCACTCGTTCGTTCCTGCTAACATTGTTCCATTACAAATTAACGTTCGCTACTTATTTTCGCGGTATGGCGTCCCACGGAACCAAATAGACATTCCAAACAGCTTTACATCACGAGGTTACTGGATTTCAAACTGGAAAGGATGAAAAGCCACTTGACCGCTGCAGAATCAACTACACGTACAAAACACACAGAAAAAAAAAAGCCGCAGGTTGCGGCTATTAATAAAAATAAAAAAAGACTAGTCCCATTCGAATTCCAACCAACTCACCTCAACCATCCAACACGGCAGGTCGAGCTTAGTTTTCGGCTCAATAAAATCCGCCACACCCGACTTGTCCAAAAAGTTAACCTTTTCCAATCGCACCTCCGTGATACACGGTATAACCGCGTTGCTGACGATAATATCGTCTAAATCGAGATAATCTCCTTGCGCGTCGAAATCAAGCACTTCCTCCAAGGAACACATTTCAAAACGATTCACATCCTTTGAAAACTAACAAACAAAGAAGTCCCCAACTGAAGACTGTTCGGTCGAAGAAAAATCACACGAAGCTTTCATGCAAGTAAGGAAGTCACATCGCAATGATCCTTGCAAAGGGGAACTTTATAAAAACAAAAGAAAAAATATCGCCATCACTGTTGAACCCTCGAATCCAATTTAGTTCGAATTTCTGCCAAAGCATCAAGGTCCGTCTTGACGAGGGTCTGGAGATCAAGAACAGCTCTCGACATCGCTTCCAATGCCTGAAAATACATTTAAAAAATGCAATACAACTGCAAAATATCGTTACAACACAGTTTTAAGCATAAGTATCTTTTTCTAAGTCCCGGCAGAAAGCCCACTGAGTACAGTGAGACCCGCAGATGCGGACATAATTGGTGCATCAAGAGTGTCCTTAAGCTGAATTGTCCCTAAGTCCAGTCTTTTTTCCCATAGACTTACATTATATAATTTTTAATTGGTGTTTTATGCAAGAAATATTCTTCAGAATTCCATGAAAAAAAATTTTTTTTGCCACTTGAACTTGATTCAGTGAATATATTTTCAACACAATAAGAAAATATGGAGCATTTAATAGTATACCACTGTACAGTTCATTGAAATGTTGCCCTCTGTAAAGATGACATCCAAGTCACAAAAAGAGAAAAAAGTCCCTTTGTGCTACAGGTAAATTTTTTTAAATTAGCTGAATGGATGGGAAAGTGATGGGAAATGTACCAAAGAATTTTTCTTACAATTAAGCCTAATAAAAGTCAATTTCCCTAAAATGTATTGGCAATTTTATCATGCAATGTCCTCATGTTGAGTCACTGTCCCTCTGTCGGGCCTTTTTATACCCTGTTTATTGAAAAATAAATGTCCCCATGTCGAGGTGTCCGCATGTAGGGGTCTCACTGTACATGATAAATCAATCTCGATATAGCAATCTTCCCAACTCAAGTATGAAAAACTTTTTTGAGGATGTTTTGATAGATTCTCCAGGTAGAAATTTCAGAACTAGGATAGGCACAGTCTGACAGTTCTGATCCCAATTGTGACTGACTGGTTCTTGTATCATGGATGGAAGTCGTAATTAATGGCCAACACGCTTTCACGTGGTTCCACACAAAAGCCAATTTTTTCTTAGAAGTTCACTCGGTTTAAAAAAAAAATCTGAAAATGTCAGAAAAGCAAGATCCAACATAATATAAGCAAGTCTGAGGTAATAAGTGTTCCAGCAATTAATTTTGAAAATCTCGTTATAAAAATTATTCATTACAACAAATGTTCACTGAAGTCGCCGGAAGTTCGTTCAAACTAGATTCTACTGTATTACTCCAGTACTGTATATGATTTTAGCTTGGATTAACTCACGAAGTTCAAATCTGGACAAGCTTCGTGGATGATCGGCAATTTCTGACGACGCAAAGAATTCTCGAACCCATCGTCGGGACGCATTTGAGAGAGGCTGTAAATGGAATTGACCCTGGCTCTCAGACCGAAATACTCCTTCGCTTCCACAGGATCCCCAAGAACACCTGTGAAAAAAAGGTCTGTTCTGCAGTATTCCGTAGAATTGTAGACGATTTCCGGGGTAAACCAAAAAGTTTCCTCCTAAAAACGCATAAAATACCGTACCTGGTTCTTTTTTGAAGAAAACGTCGCCTTCGCGAACAGCCCCGATTTCCGCATACAAGTTGGAAATCCATGGCCCAAGAAGTTCCTCCTCTTCCTTTTTGAGACCTTGGCCGCACTTTCTCACCATTTCTTGCATCACTAGAACGCGCAACACTTTCAGAGAGAATCTTTCTTGAGCTATCCGAAGATCATCAGCCTTCGTCTTCAGCAACGAGTGTTTCCGAACCATTTCTTCAATATTTTGCTCCACAGCGTCCAACTCGGCTTCTTGCCGCTGAGTTTCAATGCCTTGAAGGCGAAAGCGCTCCAGCAAACCATCGAAACCGGTCAGGACTTGAGGGAGCTTGTTGGCCGGGTCAGGATTATCTTTCTTGCCTTGTTCCCATGTCAACGGCTCGATACCTGCACAGAGGAAATAACCAGATGAAAATTCCGAATCACGAGTAGCCAAGAATAAAAGGATTGGTTCAAAGGCTATACTTCCTCGCGCTCTCCCTCAACAGGACGTTTCCAAGATTAATAAATGTTCATGGAATACACTGGAACCTCTGCAAGTCGAACTTCAAGGGACTAGCAAAAATTCGAGTTTGGGAAACAAGCATTTTGATGAAAGGAAGAAAAATTTAGAGAACTTTTAAATGGTGATGTCCTGGACATTTAAATGCTTCTTGAATCAGTTGATGGGATGCTAAACTTGGGAGACCACAGACAAGGGTTCATTTGCCCAATTAATCTTTCGCTTCCTTTCAAAGAATCATCAAATTCCATTTTCGTTGCTCTTCTCTTTCCTGTATCATTAAAAAAAAAAGGCCAAAAGGCCTCTTTTCAAGAAAACAAAATCAAGTTACAGAGGTTTCAGGAGGAAATACTTCGAGTTTGGGAGGTTTTCTATGAATTTTTTCAAAGGGAATCCACAGAGAATTGAAAAAAAAAATCGACACACGTAGGTATTCGACTTGGGGAGGGTTAAGTCATTATCGTTCAACTGTAAAACGCAATCTTTTCAAAACAATTATAAATATTATTCGAAAAATGATCAAAATTAGGGATAACAGAGCAACATATTCCTACTTGTAACTAAAATTCAACCACGTCATTGGCATATGCAGTTCATTTACTAATAGCATCTGCGAAAGGTTCCATTGCTGCCAAATGTGTGAAGAAAAGTATGCTCTTGATGACGGAAATGTCCTCAAACCTAACGAAATCTTGCCGAATAAAATTAATTTTTCGATGGAGGAAATTTCTGTCAGATTTTTATAAAATGTGCTCAAGATGTCAACTGGTCAACGTCAAACAACGTCTGCAAATTTTAGATGGGATTAAAAATTTCAAAAAATAAGACCTGCTTTAAGTCCTAGTAATGACCTCACAGTGGTTTCAACATTCTGAGTCGGAAGAACACGCACGAAACAAAATTAACCAATTTATTTTAGTTATATTCTGTTTCATAATTTCCTAGGATTACAAAATTTCGCGAAGCCGAAAAGGGCTTCTAAGTGGAACCGAAGTAAAGTGAGGTAAAGCAGATTGATGAAGTTACACGAGAAAAAATATACTGTACATCGTACATCACTTTTTCCAAAAGGTTCTTCAGAAATTTTTTCTCACAGTAGTGAAATAAATCGACGGAAAAATGGAATTTTGACGGAAAGAAGACTGATACAGCGATGGAAATCTCACCTCGAGGAGGGGTTTTCAAATATTCTTCAATCTGCTCATCAGAAAGACGACATCTGTAAACCACATCTTCCACACTGAGTGAGGACGCCAGAACTTGAGCGGCAGCTTGTTGACGTAGCCTTTCGTGCAATTTCTTCGCCGAAATAGTGACTTCCGTTCCTAAATACAAAAAGAAAAAAAAACTCGCGTCTGTTATTTTCCTGAATTTCATAAAAAAAACGCCGTCGAAACTCGCCTGTAGACGTTTTTTCAATGACGTAAATGACCACTTCGCATTTGTTATTCGGCAAGGGTTTCCAGTCGTGAATGACCACTTTGATACTTGCCTGTGCCAAGTTGGCCGAAGTTCCTAATATCGCACGCATGACTTCGGACTGTAACTGCGCCTGATTCAACCTGAAATTACATAATTAGGCACTTCACATCTTTTACATTCACCACCCCAATGTACAATATTTAGTAAAATTCATTTACAACGAATTTTTTCCTTTGTCCCGGTGGTTTCTTCATAGAGACAATGTTATGAACATTTTGTTATACAGTAACGAACTCATTTTCCTCTATAACCTCAGTATAACGACTTTTAACCTCGATTATGAGTGCATAGGCCTTAGAAATTTTACTATTGTACTTACCTTAATCGGAGAAAATCCAACTGGTGCCCAATTGAAAAACCGCCATGATACCGTTGTATAATAGTATAAACGCTGATTTTTTTTTACATAAAATTTAGCATTCCACGAAGTACGACGCTCTAATTAAAAAATATCCAGCTTCATTTCAGAATTTATAAATGGCTAAATTTTAAAGAAAAAGTATGTCTGAAAGGAAAAGGCTCTATCTCAGGGAACATACTTAATAGTTCTTAATGAATAAATGCTCTTGTTGCACAAGCGAATATTTTCTGTTTGTTAATTTGTTTCAGCTCATGCTTTTGTAAGAAGGATATATTTTGAAAATTTAGGAACGGGAAGTCTGAAAAAAGAGAAGTTTACTTTGCTTTTAATTTTTCCTATCATTTCATCAAAAGAAGTTGGAACATTCGAAAATTTTTCACATATCTTGTGGGATTACTTCAAAGCATCTATTACCCGTTTCCAAAAAAAACTTCAGTCCTACACGCTCTGAGAACCACGAATCTCGTTTCAACAAATTCTTCGCAATTAAAATTGTTCTAGGTTTCCGAGAGTTTGCTGTAACGAGATTTTACTGAATTCAGAAACAGGCAGCGGGCAACACTCCAAAAAGACCATTTCCAAAAACACAAGATTCACTGCGAACACGCAGCCTTGAATTAAGGTATGACGACGAATTCTTCCGGATTGGGAATTGCACAAATTTAATGAAATTTTATGAGAAGCGATCAACTCTCGTGCACCTCATGAACACATGGAAATTCGAATGACTCAGTTTAAAAATAAGATTCTATCGTTTCCCGAAATAAACAAGGTACCACTTGGAAATCAGTTGAAATCGTAATGGATCAAGACTATGTATCCATATACAGTAACAACTCACTCACAGCAAAATACTCAACTCGTACGAACACATTGATTCTTATAAACGGCCGAAGATTTAAAATTTCGAATTCTTATAAAAAACTCACTCAATTTCTCTGGCAGGCTTGTTGATGATCAAAGAAACGTGACCAGAGGAATCCTTTGCCCCGCAGAGTTTGAAATACGCGACTGCTTTGAACCTCGCGAAGACATTGTGAGGCTTGAAAGCAACGGGCTGATGATGTGCACTGTAAAAACCTTTGCCGTGTCCCCAGAAAGCCTGGAGTTGGTTCCATTTCACCAAAATGCGATCCCGTTCGTCGCCGAAAATTTTGCAAGAATCCGTCAACGCCAATACTGATAAATCTGTCTCGGTCACGGGCTGGGAGACGCCGAGTCCTGGGGCGGCTTGCTGTTGTTGTTGGGATGCTCCAAATGTTCCACCTGCTCCGAATCCACTAAAACTGGGCCCGGAAGCTAAAATGCAAAATTTTGAAATTGAAACACAGTACGAAATTTGAATGAACTCACTCGCAAAAACAAAGTTTGGAAAAATTGCGAAAAATTACTCGCTATAACGCAGGAGACAATTTTACGTTGTCTAACATGGTGCCACCAAAAATCACGAAAACACGATAAAACAAAAGTAAAACGCGCCTGATTTCGTTCTAGACCTCGTGTAGTATATGTACCGAGAAAACTGCATATAACCAGGGCTCACAAAGGAATATCACAAAACTTTGTGCAAAAGTCAGAGGTTTAAATTCGTGGCTCTTCAGGAAATCTTCAATACCGTAAAATCATTAATTTGTTGTGAAGCATTACCAGCATAACAAAATTACCAAGTATCATCATCAGACAAGAATAAAACATGCCAAAATTGATGAATAATAAGAGTCGGGATCAGTTTATTTTTAAATATAAATTTCCCAATTACTACACATTTCAACTAAAAGGCACGCATCTTGACTATGCATTTCCAGGAGAATTGGAAAGACTTGCATCCACACGATGCGAATATGAAAAGGGAGAGTTTCAAAAATCACGCCATTCACATTACTGAACTATATCCACGGAATTGTGGAGATGTAAGTTCGAAAATAACCAGGTGATATCCTCTCTAATGGCAATAGCAACAGAAAGGTTTAATCGAGTTTCTTTTGCCCGAATGTAGGAAATATTTTTTAATAGAAGACAAAAACATGAGCAGGAATTCATGATTTGCAGACTAATGATCGTCACTTGCATACTAGAAAAAAAAAACCCTGGCGAGGAAATTTATCGAAAGTAGTGAATCGCTCGGCACTGGATCATCACCGAAATTCGATCTCTTTCCTACCCGTCAAGGAAAACGAACAAAAACGGGTCTTTTAAAAAAGAAAGGAAGAAAAACTCACGAGCACCGAAACCAAAGCTCGGCTTTGCTCCCCCCATACCAAAAGAAGGCGCAGTATTTGAAAGGAATGAAGTAGTACTGGTGGGGGCACCGAAGCCGAACCCGCTGGCAGCGGGGGTCTTTGCACCAAATCCCGTTCCAAACCCCTGGGTAGACGATCCAAATCCGAAGCTAGGGGTCGTAGTAGTGGATCCGAAACCAAAGCTCGGGGCTGTCGTGGTAGTAGTCGACAAGAAGCCTCCGAATCCAGCTCCTGTGGTCTTTGCTCCTCCCAATCCGAAGGCAGGTGTCGTGGATCCAAACATGGACTGAGTCGTCACCGGTGTCGAGCCGAATCCGAACGAAGGAGCCGATGTTGTCGTCGCACCAAAACCGAATCCTGTCGCGGCAGGCTTAGCAGCCCCGAATCCTGTTGACGGAGTCGACCCGAACCCAAAAGTTGATCCCGTTGAAGCTCCGAATCCACTCGACAGAGAAGAGGTAGTCGATGGAGCACCAAGTCCAAAAGCAGGCTTGGCAGCTGCAGTTCCAAAACTGAACGTAGACGCTGTTGTAGCAGGAGTTGATCCGAATCCGAATGTCGGAGCTGAAGAGCCAAAGGCTCCAGTGTTCGACCCGAATCCAAATGCCGGAGCTGAGGTGGTCGTGGCTCCGAAAGCAGGAGCTGAAGTTCCAAAACTAGCGGTTGGCGCCGCAGATCCGAACCCTGTTCCAAAGCCGGATGTTGTTCCTGAGCCGAAATTCAACGAAGGAGCTGTTGATGCAGCAGCACCAAATGCCGGCGCTGTGGATCCAATGCCAAACCCGGTACTAGTCGCACCAAATGGTTGAGTAGCAGTAGAACCGAATGCTCCGAAAGCGGAACCCGCTGGTTTGGCTACACCGAAGGCAGAATTTGTGGAACCAAATGGTTGAGAAGTCGACGCACCAAAGGCAGGCTGCGCTGCACTGGTTGCCCCAAATGGCTGAGTTGTTCCAGTAGCTCCAAACGCCGGGGTGCTTCCTGCACCGAAAAGGGAGGTAGATGGTGCACTTGCAGCAGATGATCCGAAGCCAAAACTTGTTGGTGCCGTAGTCGTGGACGTTCCAAAACCGAAGGATGGTGTACTAGCAGCAGCACCAAACCCGAAAGGTTTCGCGGGTGTCGTTCCAAATGAAAATCCACTCATTATTCCTTCTGTATCTGAAAAATTCAACGTTCGTCTAAACGTCAGCTGAGCAATTGAAACACACGCGGACAAGATCCGCAAGAAAAAGGTAATTCAAAATCAGAAAAATTACGCGAAGTACTTCGGGATTTCAAGTAAATCACCAGAAATCTTGAAATTTCAGGAATCGAGGCAAACAAACACGAACGCCGTACCTTGCGATTCCGCGTCTTCAATGAGTTCCACCTAGGGTTGAAAGAGATGAAATCGAATCATGAAGAGTTACGCAAAATACGTTAGTTTACGAATTTCCCGCGCCACCGTCTCAGGATATGCACTTCAAAATTTCTAAACTCATCTTGGTGAGATCCAATGATTCGATAAAATTTCCGCAACACCCGGAGTTTTTTACGCCCCACTTCCCACCCCTGTCATTTTCAGTGCTGTACATTACAGTACAGTACTTCCTATTACAGTACTATCAGCAACCGGCGTCACCCTAGAACCAAGCTATGAAGTACTCTCTCTCTCTCTCTGTCTCTTTCAGAGCAACTCACCCCACCAGCTGTGGGGTGGTGTACAGTTTAGGTTCTCTGAGTGTTTTTTCTCCGCTTTTTATTATCAGACAGTGCTGTATCGTCATGGTTTATGAGAAAATTCACTGATTCACAAATTGAAAAAATTATAATACCAAAAATTTGACAAAATCTTATCCTGTGATGCCACTTGCCAGGTGTGGCTGGGCATCCTCCCCTATAGTATGACATAATGTAAATAATTAATAGAGACTTTTTTCCATCACACAAAAAGTGGCTGCCAAATTTAAGAATTTCAAAACTCTTGAGAACCGTTCCTGTACATGCTGATGTATTATTGAATGTCAACTTACACAAATTGGTTGCCAAATTGGTCGCCCACGAAAAAAACACGTGAGCAACCCAAACGTTTCCATATACAATATCCTTTTTTTTTTTATATAATCATGATTTTTCAATCTCAAATAATAACGACTCTGTGCTGCGTGAAAAAATAGAAGATTATGTTAGCTGCATTTGTTAAACTAATTTTGAGCGTCAGAGATATTAATAATGTGTTACTGTAATTAGTGTAGTACATATATAGGGCTGTATACGTCAACACCCAAGTTTGTATGACGGCCACGGATCAATTCCGAGGAATTAAAGATATTTTAGGGAAAAAATTGAATTCACCCTTGGAATATTCAAGTCCAGCAACTCGCTCTGCATAGTCGACTTGGACGATATACCTTTTACAGTACAATATAATTATTAAAATGGGACGGAGTTGAACTGAGAACATTTCATGGAGACTTATTCCGCAAGATACCATGTGGCAATATCCGAATACTGTACACTAAACTGGAATACACCATGGCAAAAAGCATGAACGTCCAATTTTGGAAACAATAATGATGAGAGTTGAGTTTGCCATAGGCTTTGCGGTGAAGGTCAATCGCTCTGTGTTTTGTCATTCGCTCTTTTCGTACGTCATGGCCTCCTGTATCCTCTTAATCCCTTCCCATATCTTTTGAAGTGAAGTGTTCGATCGAGAAAGTGATCGCTCTGGATGTGGTCGAAGTGCTGACATATTCTGACGATGTCATGCGATTGTGCGTTCAGTCTTATTTTCCGTGAGGTGATGAGCTGGAAAAAGCCATCGAGTAGTGTAATTCTTGTGAAGGCAAAGCGAAGATTTCGGTTGATACGTAAGATTCCCGTGAACCATCAAGCTGAGTTGTCAACACGTATTCTCGAATGTTCATCGCTGATACGAAAAGTGTTTCTTGGGGGTATCGAGACCATCTGCCGATAGTGATATTGCGCTGGATGTTCCTTTCTAAATTCTTGAACATCTCGGTGAGACAAGCCCCATCACGAAAATAGAGTGGAAAAGCTGCTCTGAATATCGCAACATAATGTTACGGTCACACCTGGCCGATGTTTTTTCCTCAACACAACGCTACGATCACAAGCAGCATTCGCTGTGAAGTCTTTGACGTTTTGAGCTCAATCGATGATCTTGGGCATGCATTTCTTTTGTTTGTCATTCCAGGAAAGCTGTGAAGCTGATCCTTTCATTGTGAAGTTTTAATTTTGCCTTTTTAAGTTTTACCCGAACTCAGTTCTGTTGATCTCAATAATTGGATGGTTGAAAAGCGCGCGCGATCAATTGGCGGCGCTATGGCTGATGTAGAAGAAGAATACAACATCAAGTGGAACAATCACAGTCACGAGGCGTTGTACGTCGTGAACCAGTTGCGCTCTTACGAGGCATTTGCGGATGTCCTTCTTTTCTGTGAGGGAACATGCTTTAAAGCAAACCGGATGATACTCGCCGCGTGTTCCGGTTACTTCCAACAAATCTTCATCGAAATGCAATCGCAAACGGGCTTCAAGTCCCAAGCAGTTGTAGCCATGCGAGAAACTCGCCCTGATCTCCTCCAGCTTGCACTTGACTTCATGTACCAAGGAGAAGTTCTCGTGCCAAGTGCCAGTTTGCAAGACTTCATGGACTTCGCGGAAGATATGCAAATCCGCGGTTTGCGTCGAGATCCGGGTCTGCCGAATGCCACGCAGAACTCCGTTGAGCGCAATAACAACATGAATACCTCGTCTTTACCCGCGACTACTACTACTACGACTACTACTACTCGAACTACGAATGGTCCGACTGCTGTCGTTCCTCAAGCCAAGAAAATCCGAACTCAAGAACAAGCTTCCACTGCAAATGTGAGTGTCGGGTCTTCCATTGTCGACATTTTCTAGTCTGATAACCCGTTCGAATCGGATTTTGCACAGGCGGCGATTATTGCAAATGAAACTCAGAAGGAAGACATGAGCGAGGAGGAGTTCGAGGACGAATCCTTCATGAATATGAAAGATGAATTCATGCCGGAAGCCGAGTTTAAACATGATACCACAACAGCGCCAGCATTTGTACCTCCGGACATCTCTACAGAGGTAGGAAATATTGAAAGTTGAGAGGTGCTTTGGAGTTCGAAGGTGTTGGTGTATATTTCCTAAACGGCATAATGGCTTTCCGATAGTATGCGGGTACGATTTTAATGAATTAGCCAGGATTCTGATCTTGGCTGTTGCAACTGGAAGTGAAAATTTCTTGGGCAATAGTTTTGTCAGCATCTGAGGGTTCATTTAACGTAAACGCTTTACCTTCGTTTTGGGATAATGCGACGAACTCAAACTGACTGATATGGCATAGCTTCAATGAATTTAATGAAATTATCGAGTGTAACCTACACAACTCATGGAGTCCATCATGGAATTGGGAAATTCGGGTGTGGAATTGAAGAGAACCAATCCCCTACGTGCACATTTCTCGAAGTCATGATCATCACCGCCATTTCGCTTTGCAGAAGTACGAATGTTTAATTCACTTCCGGAATTCTGATTTTTCTGTTCTGTCTTCGATATTCTATCCAATGATAATCTACTGTACTATATCTCTTGAGAACTGGTTCGTTGCCGTTTTTTCCCCGGAACTGTCTGTGGACTGACTTTTATTTCCAGGGTTTTTGCGCCCTGGAACACCCTCCCCTTCCATTATTTTCGCGAAAGTCCTCGTTTGGTCGAAAATGTAGGTTTGAGGATTTTTTTTCAGGATCGACGAAACATCCGGTGTTTCATTTTTGAATTATGGGTTCTATGACAGGGCGTGTATCGGGGAAAGTGCTCGTTAGGTACAATCATCGTCAATTCAGTGATGCATTCGGAGCACGGCTGTTGAACGAAACCGAATATTCCGTGAACTTCTGCTTTTGGAGTAACTTCTGGAGCTTCTTTCTCTTCTTTAATTTCTGCTGTCGCAACTCCTCTGTTAGTCATAAAAACTTCCCAAGTTTATTTGCTGAGTGCGTGAATTTCATGTGATGTGATGATGAAGTCTTGCGGACTGAATTTGCGGAGAGTTCATCGTCGAACGGTAATGATTACATGGTATTCGTGACTTTCTGGACCTGCTTCGCGGAATATCTGTGACGAACCCCTTGAGTTGAAGGCTTGATGGTAGGAGATCTTAGCGTGTTGTTCGTGTTATTTTTTCAGTCGAGAACATTTTCACGAGAAAGCAGTGGCGTAATTTTTCTGGCTGATACTGTATTTCTCGCGTTCTCGACGCTCACGGAGAAGTTGACGGAAAATACGTTCACCGTAGCATGTGAATTTTCGCAGATACTGTCATGGCCGAAAACTTAATTTGCATTTTGATAGATTAAAATTTGCGGAATGTAGGAATTGGAATATTTTTCCCATACGTGACTCGGATCTTGTCTTGGTCCTGCGAAATTTGTGCGCCTTTTTTCAAATTAGTCTTTTATGATACAGTAATTTTATTCCGAAAATTAAAAAAAATATTTAAGTACGATGTCTTTGCGTTTACTGATTTCATCGATGAAGTCCATCAATCTCATTTCCTTTCGGAGAATTTTGGTGTCGTGACTCGCGAGCTAATCTAATATTTATGATTTTATTTGTCCGTGAAAGTTTTTCTTCGGATTATTAGAGTCAGTGCGTTGTAAATTAATCTTTTGGAGTTTCAATTTTGCAGAAGTTTTAGTTCTCAAGTGCAAATGACATCGTATATGGAAGTAAACCCGCGTATTAAATTCAGATTATGTTTCAGATTACCTTTTTAATATACTATTTTATAATACTGTTTCTTATAAGTCAACTTATTCTCATGCGAAAAATCACCTGTTGCAAAAGTACAGGGTGTGCCAAAAAAAAAGTGAACCAATTTTTTTCTTGAAATAGCTTGATAGCAAATTGAGCTGTGGTTATGAAAAAAACCAAATGAAAGCTTGTTCAATTCTCTTTCAAATGGTATGTAGTTTTATGGTCCCAAGTGCCACACCATGGTCACAAGAACCATTTGAATGAAAACTTTCCACAAAAAAAAGTTGTCTGGCAACTTTTTCCACTAAGCAGCTTTTCTGGAGAGGTGAATTGCTGAAACTGATTTTAAGTTAAAATTATTTTGAATTTAACTGATTTTGAGTGAAACAAATTTTGTGCCATCCAGTCATCCAGGAAAAATATGTGCATGCAGTGGGTTACCTGGAGCTGCAAGGCCAGTGTCCAGCAGCAGTAAGCATGCAGGACAGGAGCCCTGTGGCATCCTATCTTGCCAATTCCCTACCTCCTTCTCACTGTGACCCCTGCTGGATTTTGAGAAAATATGGAGGCTTTCCAAGACAGCATGAAGTCTGCTGTGGTTAAATTATGTCATCCTGTATATCCTTTATTTGTGCAAACAGCTCTCCAGAACAGCCACTTAGTGGAAAAAGTTGCCTGACAACTTTTTTTGTGGAAAGTTTTCATTCAAATGGTTATTGTGACCATGCTGTGGCACTTGGGACCATAAAACTGCATACCATTTGAAAGAGAATTGACCTCGCTTCCATTTGGTGCTTTTTTCATTACCACAGCTCAATTTTCTACTGAGCTGTTTCTAGTCAAAAATTGGTTTGCTTTTTTTTTTGGCCCAACCTGTAGATTACTGTACATCCTCTTGCATTAATTTCAGCAAAAACGTTGATGTAACTGTGGTCTTGGTTTGGACATTAGGTCTGGTGGTGCCTTGGAAAAGGTGTTGATTTTGTATGTTTCAGCGAATACTTCAGTTTTTCAGCGCATTTGGTTTGATCCTTGTACCGTATTCAGTTTTTTGCAAGACCTTGGTGTCCTTGTATCTTGAATGATTCGTTGGCACATGTTCAATGATGAATTGTGAACAGAAAATCTCTATTGATGGCTGAAGTTTTCTCCATGGGGAGTTTTTCTTGAAATGGTCTCTTGTCCAATACTTTTTGGATTAAAAGGTGCTGTGGCTGAAATGTCACAAAAAGGCAGAATTTTGGAAATGAAACACCAGAATCAGCTGTGGGGTTCAGCTTGGGATCTCTTTTTATGAGATCCCAAAAGAACAGATAAAAACTGTATTTCAAATTAAACACAAAAGACAGACTTATAAAAATCACAAATGGATAAAAACAGGATAACCTTCACAATCTCACACACACCAGAGCAATAGCAAGAACAACACATATTTTCTGTAGTCTGTACTTCTGCACACCTAAATTGTAAAAACCCGTGAAGGGTACAGATTAAAATCTCTAGTATGCAATTAATATGGCTGCCATCTAACAGCAGCCAGTGTGCAGGTACTGTAGTATATTAAGGTACCAAATTATTCTGTCATGGGTGCTACGCGAAACATTCCTGGTTTGGCATGAATATTGGTGATTTTTTTGTGTATTCTGATGGGTGAATGGAACGGGAAGAGTTCCTGAAATTTGGCATGATTTCATTTGATGAGCAAAACATTCGATCTGCAATCGAGTCGCATATCATCACATCCAGTGATTACCGATATGAATACGGAGCAGATGATGTGATGAATAATGTGAATCAGATCGTCGTGGTCCTTGAGACTATGTAAAAAGTGTATTCCACTAAAATATTTCTACAAAATGAAGGTACAGTACAGTACTTCTCGTTTGAATTCTTGGTTGCTCGGAATTTGGTAAGAGTTTTACGTGTCCTTGTTATTTCGTTGATTGAATATTACTGTATTTAAACACGGTTTAATTTTGTATGATATTCTCTTCACGCCTTCGTTACGCGAATGGCTCGAATCTGTTTTTTTTTTTGCCTCGGAAAGTGGGAGTTATGTCTTTTTCTGGACCCCCGTGACGAGAAATGTTCACAAATGTGAGACAATCATCGGAAATTATGTGGATAAAATATCTCGTAAGCCCCATAATTCATTCTATGAAAAAGCGCGCCTTTTTCTTCTTTTCGAAATTTCAAGAAAAATGTGTGTACAGTGAGACCCTAGATGCGGACATAATTGGTGCATCAAGAGTGTCCTTAAGTCAAGTTGAATTGTCCGTAAGTCCAGTCTTGTTTTCCCATAGACTTACATTATATAATTTTTAATTGGTGTT